TAAAAATCAAAAACATAGTTTAAATATATCAGTTTTGCGGTTTGGAATGTTGTTCGGAAAACGTAATGTAGTGGGTTTAGATTCTTAATTTTTTCAACGTAAATAACATGACACCAATAATTTCAACAACAAAATTTTGATGATTAAATTAGGCATATTTATGGAGCCGGCCTTAACCAATTAATTTAAATGTGGACGAGGTGCGTAACGCATAGGCATGAAATTTTATTTCGAAATGTATTTGAATATTTCAACACACTTCCAACAGAAGCTATTGATAACGACAAACACTAAGCATATGAATAATAACAATTTTAATGAAGCTGGAAATTTTCTTTCTTATTTTTTTATAGTTGAAATATAAAAAAATCCAAATTATTAGTTTAATAAGTACCTACTGTCCAAAAATAATTTCCTTTTCCCCCCTTTCGTTGAAAAAGGGTGTAATTAATTTTTATTTAAGCGATTTTGCGAAAATCACACTTGAAATTTTAAAAGTGACATTTTTTCAACTGTTTTCATGGAAACTTTTTTGAAAAAAAGGAATTAGATACTTTCAAACAATTTTAAGGTGATTTACTCAAAATATTATTTTTTTAGCTAATTGGAAAAGATAGTTATTCTAATTGAGTTAGCTGAGAAGTTAAGTACTTGGGTAATTTGAGCTCGCTTTACTCGTAATCATTATTACAATTGTGTAAGAACCCTACAACTAGCGTTAAAATATCTCGTGCGTGGTTGCTGAAGTTGATAAATTTTAGTAATATTTCACAGGTTATTCTGGATGTTAATCACTAACGGATATAACTTTTCAAGCTATGTCTTAAGTTCAGTTAAGTAATGCAAGCGTCACTATGAATAATGGATACAAGAGAGCATAAAGCATAAAATAGATACTTACCGCCCAACTTCTGACTTTGTAAAAATTCAATATTTCATCAAATTATATAAAATAGGTAAGTACTCGTAATTGTAGAGCTTGAAATTTGTATTAATTACAATATTGAAATACATACTTAAAGATGCATCTTCTAAATTAAATCCTTATTGTTGCAATTTGTAAGATTGATACAATTAAATTTCTCAACAAACACAATTTATACAGCATCAAGTAGTGACTGGTCAGCACTTTTTACATCTCGTGTATAAAAAATTTCAGAATTCTTTAAATATTCATATTTTCAAAACTACGCGGCTCAGAAAAACTACAAAAGCAAACCTGAGCTTCTATTAACTTTTTCTACTACCATGTGAGAGATTATCCGACCCTTTTATAACATAACAGCATCTTTAGCACCTCTCTCATATTTAATGTTGCTAAATTAGTTCGGTTTTCTCCATAGACATGTAATTCTTATTTCAGACTTTTTTTTCTCAAATTTTATAACGTTACAAAATATAATTTTTGATACCGACTACATCTAATTGAAAATAAACTTTTTCAACACGTGGTGAAGAATCTTTTCCTTCACACCTTTGACATGTGTAAATTACTAAAATTTCAATAATATTGAAATAATATTGTTTTAAATACAAATGTTGGTTGCTATTATATATTTTCCAATTATGTAAATTCAAATTAAAGCCAATTTATGAAAGCATGTTTACACATTAAAAATTAAACAGTTTATGGTTATTACATTATACATAAGCTAAATAATTTACTGAGACATTTATTGGAAGACTTCTATTTAAGAAATATTGCAATATAATGTTGATACGGAGAGCAAACGACTATAAAACAAGTCACTTTGGATTATTTTTTGCTTTTTGTGGTCCATTTAACTACTTAAAACCTGTTTTCCTGTATCATCCTCTTCAAAATATTGACTTCCACCTTCTTCACACCGCAAAGATAAAAATATCAGGATTTTGTTTAAATTTGTTGTAAGTTTTTTATAAACATTATGTAAACACGGTGATTTTTTTAAAACTATACACCCTGGATATCTCAGAAAATAAACAAAAATTGGAAAATCTCGAGACAGGTAATTTTTTTTTGACATTTCAATCCTGCCAATCAACGCAGACGACGTTTCAGAGCTTGCATTTTTATAGTAATTTGTTCTGCTAGATCTTGTTCAGCATAACGTAAATAAAAATCTACTCAAAACTCATACAAACTCAAACAAAACACACAGCCGAGTTCCTGGAAAAAAAAACCTTTCATTTGAGGTATTACAAAAGGGGTGGTGCCGTTTGAAATTTTGTTTGTATTACAAAGAGGGTTGATGCTATAACTTTCAAAAGTACACAAAATAAAAATTGACCTGTCTCTCATGTTTTTTTCTAATTTTTGTTATTTTTATGATCTTCTATCCAGGGTGGCTCGTTTTAAAAAAATCACTCTGTATATACTCGTACATTCTACTTATTGAGAATAAATAACAAATATTGTATGCTCTATAATGAGTTTCATACGATCCAATGGCACAACCAGAAAAAAACTTGAAAAGAGAGGATACAATACAATACATAAAAATTATTTAAATAACAAATTATGTACAACTTACAGTTTTTCGTTTCTCTATGACAGATGAAAACATATTTTTAAAAACATCTTAGTGCGCTCGTGTCAACAAGTAGAAAAATTTAATTTCTGAATTTTTAGTACCTATTATATTGTAAGGTCATCAACTCATCACACACAAACTTACCCTATAATACACACATTTGTTTATTACTTGTAATTATTTACAGTGGAACTCCTCTATAGTCCCGGTTATCCCGAAAAATCGACTTTAACGAGTAAATCGTTTGGTCTCTTGCCGTTTTGTATACTTCTCCGTTTATAGCGAGTATTATTCTGGAATTGAGGTTGATACAACAAAACTTTTATTTTGTCGAAGATCGGTAATAGCGAGAAATTCTGAGAAATTTCGAAAACAGATTGATTATAACGAGAGTTCCTAGAAGAAATAGAAGAAATAAAAATCCTGCGAGTCTCCATTACGTATTGTGTCCTAGAATTTTTTTGGAAATGTTATTTTTGCGTGATAATGGTCTTATATTTCTGACTTTCTCAGTCTTGAATAACTTTTCAAGCAGAGAACACTTCGTCTTTCTGTATTAATATGTCGTCCTCAAAAAAAAAATTTCTATCAAAGAAAAAATATCAATAATAACAGAGTTCGAAAGTGGTAAAAGACAATCTACAAAAATTTAGCAGTTCTACATTGGCAACAATTTTAAAGAACAAGGATAAAAGCCTTGAACAATAATTGGAAAACGCAATTGATAAGATAAAAATGCTTCATTACATCAAAAACAAACAAAAATTACAGACTTTTTTCTTAAATATTGTTTTAAATTTCTTTAATATTCGTTTTTAATATAATAATTTGCATAGTACATGTTTAAAAACTTTTATTATACATGACTATAGCGAATACGTTGGCCCCTTGAGTTCTCGTTATAGAGGGGTTCTACTGTATATATTATTTTTTTGTTTATTATTTTTTATTGTTATGAACTATAAATAAGTAAATTATCCACCTTTCATACGAAACAGTAAGTAAATCAATAAAACATATTTTTTTGAAACATCATTCAAGACTTCACTTCGAAATCACCTTTAGCAAGTTTTCAACATCTTTTTGCATGCATCTTAACGTTTATTTGGCAATAAAACAGATTTTCCAGTTTATTGCCTTTATATCAAACAATTTTTTAACCTCTTGACACACTTTTATTTTAATTGTTCAACTTCAATTTTTGATTGCCTACTTTTAGGTATCTGCTACTTGTATTATGTATTAAAATTTTAAAAATCTTTCTTGTTAACAAATTTTTGATTATATGCCCAAAGAAAACAAAATTCCATATTAAACACGGTCAGCTATAGTCGTTACATTACTTAATTTGTATTCATATTTATGTCTGCAACATTTTTATACTCTCCCATAAATCTTAACTGATTAGTAATAAACCGGATCTTTTAATCTTTGATTAAATAAAGAAGCGTATCTAGATGCATACTTTATCATTAACTTAATTATAAACAGATATTTCATGAAACAGAATACGTAGATATTGGATAATAACTTGTTTACTATTATAAATGCGAGACTGCAAAAATTTTGATAAAATGTTAGAGTGATCGAAAATTGAAAAATCTAACAAATTTAGACTTATACAATTTCTGCAGCTTATATTCTTTTGAAGTGGATTTTAAACATTTTTAAAACACTCTGTATAGTTTATAAAGTAGGTATGACTTCTTTATTTTGAAACAAGTATAAGTAAATGTCGTAAAAAAGACGTTTCAGTGAACACTAATTAAAAGCAATACCTACCAATTACTTCATTAAACCTACTGTGTATCAGAATCAGCTGCTACATATATTGTAATAATCTTATTATGCATCAGCGGCGTTGACAATTTAATGGTAGTTATATATTTCGCATTTCATAAGATAAGCTATACATTCCTCTCCGGAAGTAAATCTTCTTTGATAAAGCCAAAATAATGACTCGTAAATAAAAAATCTAAAGCAGGAGAAATCACACACATCATCCAACCGATCAAAAAACCTCTCGACTCTTCAACAGCATGATCGTCAGAAATGGTGTGACCGTGTTGGAGGGAATGCAACAATGTTGTTATTGCGGAAGATGACAGTTACCACGCGGTGAAGTACACCACAAATCAATCAAGAGCATCACGCATTATGTTTCTTATACAAACCGTCTTCAGCACTAAAATTTTGTTAATGGACATCAGGTCGGGTCAGGAATGTGGTCTTGTAAAAAAGATTTTTTTCTCGAGATAAAATTATCTATATCGTTCATGTTTTTGGCTCAGGGTAGATAAGTCCAAGAAGTAAAAAAGATCTCGATTTGAATTAAAATAAACGTTATTATTTCTTTGAAAGTTTATTTTGTTATTACGTATGGCTATTTAATTTCTGTCATAATTTGTTGTTTATGTTTTTTTTGTAGAATTTATGTATAGTCAGTTTTTTCAGATCAAGATCCATAAGAGAACTAAAATGACTAACCTTTCTGTAACGATATGTAGATCGGGCAGCGCGGCATTCCGAACTTCACAGATCGCGATTCATCTCATCAGCGAGCAGTAGGTAAGTCGCACACACAGGTACTGATCAGCTTCTCTACACCTGTACCACAACTATAATTGTAATTCAAGATAGAGCCGCAAGTTGTCGCTACCTGCCAGCGGTGCCCCTCTATTTCCCCCTCAAAAGCTTTAAACAACACCTACCAGTACATTTATTGGAGCTGCTTTAATTCCCTTCACTATTTCAACTAATCGGGGCAAGAAGGAGGATCAAGGAACGCCCAACATAGTACTGATAAGTTTATCATCGGGATTTATGGTAATGTGGAAATAGATTCGAATGATTGTTAAATTTCTCTTGATCTTGATTTCTATTGATCTTGATTTCTATTGATCTCTTATAATAAACTAAACAACATGGGCAGTAATTTCAAGAATGATGAAAGTATATGTATACAAGAATAACTTACAAACAGCACAGCGAAAGTAATTTTAGGGTTTGCCAAATTGCAAATTAAAGACAAAAAGCCAAAATAAATTTTAGTACGTATAGTTAGGAATTTGTACAACTAGCTTTGAAAGTCATACTTTTTTTCACGAATTTGCAGTTGATTAACAAGGGCTCTGCCCGATTTTTTTGCATAGTGATAACCCCTAGAAGCCCAAAGACCAAAAAGATATCAATTTAATAAATCAAATCGTAATGTATCGCAAGCTCTTTGTAACGAACTCTATAGGTATAGAAACTATTATAGAAATCGTTTAAAAAAGTATAACTTTCTATATTTACGATTAATCGTAAAGAAAATTCAACTTTCATAATCACTATGCAAAAAAAAGCTTAGTTTATTAATTTTTTCAAAGAATATACCTAATCAGGGAAGTATTTTTTTATAAATATTTCGAACATTAAGTACCTAATTCAAAATCTATAGTAGGTAAATGTAATAATGTATATTTTTGCATCCCCTCTTTACCAATCAAAAAAAGACGGTTTTGACATTTTGGTTATAATTTTCGTGATGTTTTACAAGGCACAACACCTGAGGCAATTTGTAAGTAAATCAGCAAGGTTGTAATTATAAACACAAACACAATTTACATGTTAAAATAAAAGTTTGATGATGTGTTGGGTTTAAGTTGTATTTGTGTTCATTGTTATTCCCACCATATATACCATTTATACCACGAAGATCCAACAAGAAGTAGGTAAAAATTGTAATTATTATTTCCTATAAAACAGATTTTAAAAACTTTTGTGTACTGATAGCAGTACACATTACACAAATAAAGTATTAAAAAATAGGTAAATAATTTATTCGTAGATTAATTAAAGAAGAATCACTTTTAATTTGTTACATACTAGGTAAAAAGATTTAAAAAACGTTCTTGTGCTGAATAATAACGAAAATTAAGAAGGAGAGGTTTACATGGCGAAAAATTAATGACCATCATTAATAAAATTAAAACTTCTTAATTTTATGGACCATAACATCCCACTGATGGAGCAACTTGAAGAAAACAATTTTGTACAAATCTTCATACTTATCATACTCTTCAAGAGTTTTAAAACTACTTTCTTATATTCATGCCTTAAATAACTGAGGTGCTCTATTTTCTGTACAATCACCGATTTAAAATAGGCATTTTAAATTTATTTAATAAATTGGCAAATTTATCAACCAAAAACTTTATACCTTTTCTCTTGTTTTTTTTTTTAGTTAATAATTTAATAATTTTTGTCCATTAAAGATAAAGTTTTTGAAATGGATATTTAAAACTTTTTTAAGGGGTAACAGTTTGACCCTGTAACTTAGTTTTACGTTTTATACACACAATTAATTTTGCTAAGAACTTTATAAATGAGATATGTCTATAATAGATCAGGGATAATCCATATAGAATCAACCTTAAGCCACATAAAAAAAACGTTAAAGAAACACGATTCATATTATTTTTCATTAATTTTAGAAAATTAGTCATTGATAATTTATTTCTCTGGGTACATTAATTTGTTATTCACACAAACTAGAACGTATAACAAATACTTAAAACCAAAATAAAAAGAAAGAATAACAGCTAATAGGTATAACGTAGAGTAATGTTACTTGAAAACTTTTACATTTTGTTTGAATGGATAAGAATAGGGGTGAGTGGGGCAAATTGATGACAATAAGGGAAATCAAATAAAAAACAGATATCGTACTTTTTTAAATGTTAAAAACTTGTAAGTTAACGCAACTAAGTATCCATGTTATCAACACAAAAACAATTATACGTAATACAACAAAAATATAGATACAAAAATTAAAATGAATTCATTCATTCATGTTAACGATTATAAACAAAAGTTGCAAATGCATTTTTCTCTTCATAGCTAGGTACAGTCTTCATGCCACCAGCAATTACATTGAGAAACTGAATCTAATAATCCTGTGACGAAGGTTCAGTGAAATAGGATATACCACAACCTAAACAATGGACATCAATGACATCATTAGATAAAGAAAACTTTTCTTCGACAAATAAGTATTTTGTTTTGCTTTACACTTCCATTTATGTTTATTATTTTTCTCTCTTAACTCAAGTTCTGTTTTAACTGGCGGCGATATCAGTACTGATGCCTCTTGCCGCTTCCTTTTATTCTCTCCATGCCCGTTTAATTTTTGGCATTGGCCTGAGATCTGTAAATGATTTTTTGCCTGTAAATGGCGGTCGATTTAAGCAGACATTTAATGCGAATTTAATAAAACAGAATTAGTCAATTACCTATTTAAAAAAATTAAATACAAAAGCTTTTGGTCTGACTACTGTGAAATACAGAAAGCTCGTCTACGAATTTGTAATCCAAAACCAAATCTATCATCAAAAAATTATCTACAGATCACGGGCCAACACCAAAAATTATCCGGGCACAAAGAAGAGAGAAAAATAATCAAAATAAAAAGAACTGTAAAGTAAAACAAAATATATTTTCTGAAGAAACATCTTGTTTATCCCGTGAAATGCAGATTGTAGATGAAGTAAACAATGACCATTGTCCAAGTTGTGGTATATCTTATTCTGAACCTCCGTCAAAGAATTGGATTATTCAGTGCTTCCGATGTAATCGGTGACGGCATGAAGTATTGTAGGTATACTACCTATACCCTACACGAAGGAAAAAATGCTTTTTTTGCGACTTTTCTTTGTAATCGACAACTTGCCTCTATATGTTCATCAGCTTGCTCTACCTAAGGGGCAAGTTGAAGACAATTTTAAAAATGTAGTTTAATTTTTTTGTTTTTGTATTTGTTGTATTACGTATAATTGATTTTTTGGTGGATACTTAATTGCGTTATCTGATAAGTATTTTGAACATTTAACAAAAGTACGATATTTATTTTTTTTATTTGATATTAGGAGTATTATTTATCTTCGTCAATTTCCACTCTTTCCTCTACATTTAAGATTTTTTTCTAATTTGCGTTTATAATACGTTTATTAACGTCTCCAGTAGGAGTCGTTTATGGCTATCTATAAAAGCACACTGTACTTTAATGAATTTAGGGTTATTTAGTTTTTGGATGCGCGCTTCTGACTTGTCAGGTAACAAATTTTGCGTTGTTGCTTCGACAATTTCGCGAATTTCGGGCGGAGTGCAAACTAAATTCTGTTTCTCATATTTTATTTATTATTATTATGTTGTAACACTAATAACTAATAATTTGTAAATTTTATTTTTAATGACAGACGGCAGAAATGACTCAAAAAAACGGGTGGGCGCCGAGTGTTACCAACCGATACCGACTAATAAAATTGTCTAGGCGACAAAAATATATATTTTTTTAATTAATATAAGAAAAAAAGTGGGGGCAAATTAGAAAAATTGCATAAAATACTCGTTTTATAATGGCATTGGCGCACTCATCCCATATAGAAAACTCGCCTACGGCTCGTTTTTTAACTTGGGATTCGTACACCAAATCAACCCTTATAAAACTTGTTCTTTAATATACTATTATGGGATATACAAACTACAGAAGACTGCAATTTTTTAATAGCTGCATTTTTTAATTTTTTAATCCTGCAAATGTACTGATTGCATTTTACAGGCGCTGGTCCCGTAAAATTATTTGAAATACCTTGAATTACAGAAATTTTAATTTTATTAAATGGAATCACTTTATTTTGTACAAAAATTTGAATTTGTTTTTTTTATTATAATATTTAAAACAATATCTTTCTTGTTTGTATTTTTCTTTAGACAACTTTATTAGAAAATGGATTTTACTATTATGCAACCAACAATATTGAAAATAAGTGACAGATTTTATAGGTAGATGTCGGTGTAATAGCAAGCAGGAAGTTTATTGACGCCATTTTTACAGCCGACCATCTAAAGTTTAGATGTGGAGACATCTAAATTCAATTTAAAAGATTCCACTAGTTTATTGTACAAAGTTTGGCGTTTGAATTCCAAGTGTCGGCGTCGAAACGTTTGTGATTTTTCCATAATTTTGACCGTAGTACAAGACGAATTGAACTAAAGAAGTTTAATTCCAATAACTCGTGCTAATCCGTTAAGATTTATATACCAAACTTTGAATAATTCTAAAAACTAGCATCATAAAGTGGTCTAACCTCCAACCATGGATATTCGACCAAATAATACAATCTACATCAACAACCTAAACGAGAAAATCAAAAAAGAAGAACTGAAAAAATCCTTATACGCAATATTTTCCCAATTTGGACAAATATTGGACATCGTAGCCCTCAAAACCCTCAAAATGCGGGGACAAGCTTTCGTGATTTTCAAGGAAATTCAAAGCTCGACCAACGCTTTACGTTCCATGCAGGGATTTCCATTTTACGACAAACCAATGGTGAGTATTACGTTAACAATTTCAAAAATATTTTATAAATGTAATTATTGTGCATTGCACTAGGCACAACCTTAACTAACTCCCCTGTTTCAGCGAATTCAATACGCCAAAACAGATTCTGACGTTATTTCGAAAATGAAGGGTACTTTCCAGGAAAGACCAAAGAAAATCCGCCCTCCACCTTCCAAGGAAGATGAAGCGCCTAAGAAAAAGAAGAAGAACAAGGATCCCAACAGAATTCCAGGAGGAAGTAATGCTGAACAACCACCAAACCAAATTCTTTTCCTTACGAATCTACCTGATGAGACAAGCGAGATGATGTTGTCTATGCTATTCAATCAGTAAGTTTACGTTAAATTTTGTTTCAAATATTCTTACACGATTCTTACAGATTCCCTGGATTTAAGGAAGTGCGTCTTGTGCCAAATAGACATGATATTGCTTTTGTAGAGTTTGAAAATGAGTTGCAATCAGGGGCTGCAAAAGACGCTTTGCAAGGATTTAAGATTACACCCACGCATGCCATGAAAATATCCTTTGCAAAGAAATAAGACTACATATGTTATATAAATAATTATAAGAAAACAATTTGGTCATTTATCAATCATTTTTGTAATGGTTGATATGTAAGATGAATAACAATTTTTCAGTTTTGTTCTTAATTTTTTTCGGTGACAACTTTAGATGACCACTTCTTGGATATATTTAATCTTTTTAAGTTTTAAAGTTTCCCCATGTGTCTTGGTCGTATTGCCACGTCAGACTTTTTTATGAAATTTATAACGTTTTGTTATTCCACACTTCCTAAAAAGAAATATTTAGTGCTTATAAAGTAATATTTCACCTTTACGTAAAAGATAAATCTAAAATGGGAAAAAATTCGTGGTGTCACAAATCATTTAAAATAAAACCAGATTATATGTATGATATAATTTCCTTAATACAAACTACTTTCTTTGTATCACTATGTCTATGTTCTAGAGCTTACAGTTAATTTAAAATATTTACAAATTCTAATGGAATCAAGATGTGGCACAAAGTAAGAACTTAAATGAAAAATTCTCAAAGCTATGTATTTTAACAGGTAAGCGAAGGAAAAGTTATGACTAAGGCTCGGATTATATGCAAAATGCATATTTGTTATTAAGTATATCAACAAAATTGTAAGTTTTCTATGCATATCTAATGTTTTTTTAATTAAAATAAGCCAAATAAAAAATGCATATTTTGGCAACTTGTTGCATATTTTAGGAAATATTGCATATTTGTGCATATTTCCGTCAAATCACTAATTTCCGATTAAAAATTTCAGTTCAAGTTAAAAATTGGACAGTTTATGAAAAATGATCCGATTGCAAAATATTGTAAAGAGAAAACAACCGGTAATTCGTAAGCCAAACTCAGTGTTTCCTTTTTAAATTGTATTGAACCAAGCGGTTTTTTTTAAATCATTTGTTTCCAAAAAATAATAATTAATATACATTAAAGTAATATAAAAAATGATCTTATTTTAAGAACAAAATTTTGTTTTTGAGTTATTCGATTTTTGCTGTCTAAATTGCGATATACAGGTGCGCCAGAACTCGCGTCCCAGAGAAAAAGGTCATATAAGGTACCAGGAACATGGAAAAAATGTTTAAAATTTTTTTCCATGTTCTTGGTATCTTACCTTACTTGAAAATTTTCTCTGGGGCGCGAGTTCTGGCGCACCTGTATGTAAAAAAATAATTTAATACAAAGTAGGTAGTTGTAATCCCTTAGATCATAACCTTCATGAAAAAAATGCTTTTTTTTGGTGGGTTCCCATTTAAAAAAAAAAATTTTTTTGTAAAACACAAAAACGTAAATAACAAAAATTTCGAAAAATTTTATTTTTGATAAAACATCACATTTTTATAGAACTTTATAATTCATCAATTAGTTTTTTCAAAAAATAAATACGTTGACTTTTTATTGTTCAAAATTTTACATATCGATGCATATTTGGCATCCATTGGAGCATATTTCTTAATATTTTGTGCATATTTTTGTGAAAATATGTGCATATATATGCGCATATTTTACGATTTTTTCGTGCATATAATCCAAGCCTTAGTTATGACCAAACGTAGTTTCTAAACTACTAAATTACAGTTACTTCTTTTGATGTTCCTCTTTCGTGTCACTTTAGCCGTTAATTCATTATCACAATGTTACAAATCACATTAAAATCAATTATTACTTAATACAACTTAAACAAGCATTGAAATGTGTAAAAACATTTAAATATTGCCTAAAGGAAAAACAATATTAATCATCATCAATTACAAACCCAGTCCTTGCTTGTTGAGCATGCTGATTCCTCTGCAAAATATTCATACACTGAGTTAAACAATGCAATGACGCTGCTGAAGTTGCTTTTAACAGAAGTAAATTAGGATCAACAAAAAAGTTGCTTCCGGCTGATTCAATCGCCCGACACAAAGCCAAATCTGCTTGTTCAGTTTGTGCTAATTGTGTTCGCACACAACCCATGGCGTCCAATACTGCTAGGTGTTCTCTGGGGGGCAAAGGAGGGCTGTTTGCGCTGATTGCCTAAAAATTGTTTTATTAGTTGTCACGAATCTCATTTCTGTACCTTGGTGTGTGATTCTGCCACAGCCCTTAGCCCGTTGACCCACTCCTGGCGCGCCCTGGCATCAGCAGCTCTGAGTTTCAGCATGTTTCCTGAAGCACAATTCACTGTAAAAGTTTTCGAGTCCTCGTCACTGGGGCAAATCACAGCTCCTGCTAAGTGAACTGAGCCTCGAGGGACACTTCCATCTGGTTTTTCCCCTTCGCACAGGTAGTAATGCAAAAGCCCCGCATTTGCATCCACTGTAAAGTACCGATACTGCCAGCCTTTCATTACATTAGTGTATTTGTACAGTTGACCTGAGAATTGCCTCTGTTTGGTGTGCAAGTCCATAACTGACTGTAAAAAACGGAAAAATATTTATTTGGTACACTTTGATTATGCATAACTATTAATAAAATATTGTTTTAGTAAACTGGAGATAAGGTATCTTGTTCGTTGTTTACCATAAGTTTGCTCTATAACATCCATTGAGTTTTTTGTAACTGCATTTACTGAGAATTTAGTGTAAATAAGTAATATTATTTAAAAATAAATTGTTCTAACCTCAACCAATTTGTTGTTGGCCGTCATCAAGCCGTCAAAAATGTTTATAACCTAGAAACTTCAAATGTCAAAAACGAACTTGGAAATGGAAAATTTTCAAGTATATTTTTATGAAAATTAGTAGAAATATTGGAGAAATGTAAAAATCGACAGGTGGTTATTATGTAAATCAAATTTTATAGTAAATGGGAACTTTTACAGTATATTAGGGAAAATCGTAGGGTGAGCAATACAGGTGGATTAGGTAACACTGCTCGGTGCTGAGAATATTAGGAAACATTGTAAAATGGGATGGGATCGTCCGCATCGACCTTGAACTTGGGAAGCACCCAAAAACTGGAATCAAGCACAAACCAGGAAGTAAAAAAGAAAATTTATAAAAACAGTTAAGTAAACCTACAAAATACTACAATATGTAATAGTGACTGTGATACTTTATAATTTACTTTTTTAATGAAGAAGTGTAATGTTTTCTTAATTTTATACACAGGAAGATATTTTGTCTCGAGAATAAAGTGCAAAAAACAAAAGTAATGTTCTAATGCTATACAGGGTGTTTCACGTAATTTTACGAGGCCTGCACCTGTAAGATGCAATTAATAATACATATTCCGATACGAACTCGATTACAAATTTTGAAAAATTGCATAAGCTCTAGTTTGTTCACCCTTTAAAAAATTACAACGTTTTTAGTTAGTTAGTGATTAAGATAGATAAACTAGAATCATATTCATGTCGTCTCTTGATAGAACAACTGATAATTGTTTCTGAAAAACTGCAGTTTATGACTATTAATGAAAAAGTAATTAGTGTGACAACTACTGTCATGGGTTTCCAAAAATTAAATAGTTAGAAGTGTATTTTTTGTATCCAGTGTTTTGTGACTTTTGTATATTTGGGTGCGTACATTAGGCGTAAGCCTCGTAAAGTTGTGTGAAACATCCTGTATTGTAAAGAATTGTGTAGTGTGTACGCACAAAAATCACTAGTGTATTGTTGGTTGCAGCATTTTCTATGAATCGCTAAATTTTGCTTTTAAAATCCATATTAACTTTCATTATATTTTGGAATCATAATGCAGGTTATAAACGCGTAATCGAAAAAAAAAACAGTACGTAGGTACTTTTAGAATGTTTTAAGAACCAAAATAAAATAAAACGTTTATTGTACAATACCACGGGTAAGTAAAGTCTATTTTTTTTTTAAATGGAAATGCCAAATATTTTTAACGTTGGCACCACTAGTAAATTTATTCATGGTAATTTTAGCAAAGGAAGTTGGCAATGTCGATTTTTTGAATTAATTTGAAAACAATGTCATCAAACGTCAATACAAAAATTTGTCTTAGAAAATTTAGGGACGAAACAACAAAAAAGGAACAAATTCAGTACCGCTAACAGTTTTTAGAAATTTGGAAACGAATAGTTCGCAAGCAGGAAGTTAGAAAAAGGGCCCGTTAAAATGTAGACGCAATTTGTAATGCAGGTTTCTCAATTTTTAGCAAAAAAATGAAAAGAATACAAAATAAACATGAATGAGAAAGAACCTCGGAAAGAACGCAATTAAATTAGTGTCTTGTGTATCGTTTTTGAGGAATGAGTTGAAAAAGTAACAAATGTGAAACTAAAGCTGAAGAAAAATTTATAAAATGCATGAACTTTGAGTTCATTTCAATATAGTACACAAAATGTATTGCCAATCATTATAATACCTACTTGTATCTTTTGCTAAATAACTTTTTTCTGTATATAGATCCTTTTTCTTCAAAGTTTTTATAGCAAAAACCTCATTTTTGTCCACAACATTGTACTTACTTGCGGTGTGTTTCTATCAAAATTATTAGCACTGAATTTTGTCTTTAGACCTTAGGTAATGATGTCTGTCCTCAGGTATTCAATTATAGCGCTTTCAAAAAGCAAACAGGCACACAAGATTCATAAAAGTCAAAATTTTGACAACACCTCAATTTGAAAACATAACCATAATTTTTTAACAAAATTTCTAGGGACAAAAACAAAGAGCAAACAAAATTTGTAGCTATGGAGACAATCTGCTACCAATTTTTTCACCAAAATTTTAACTTGGCAATTTCCATTTAAAGAAAAAACAGACTTTATATGTACCTAACTGTCGATAATGACCTTCGGTAAATAAAAATAACAAAAATAACAGTACTTCCTTCGGTTGAGCTTTAAATAATGTCCTGGACCCATCTCTTGATTATGCTCTTAACACATAAATAACTAAGAAAAAGTTGGAAGCAAGCGGTTTTTTTTAAATCATTTGCCTATTGCTGAAAAAATGTGACCTTTTTTTGAGATTGACATTTTGTTTTATTTTGAAATTTTACGATTTGTTTTTGTCAAAGTAGCAACTGATAGGAGATCCCAGTTAGATCAAAGCCTCTGTAAAAAAAGGTTTTATAGTGGGTTGCCATTAAAAAAAATTACAGGACTCAAAAACAAAACAAAATTTCGAAAATTTTTATTCTTGCTCATTTGTTGATAAAACGTACTGTAATCCACTAACCGTCATCAATTGGTTCTTCCAAAAAATAAATACGTTAAGCAAAAAACGTTTGCTCCATACTTTTTATTCAACTGGTATATAATTTACTTGGATTCTTCATCCATGAAGATATATTTAGTATACTTTTGAATCAAAATGTCCCTATTTTTTATCGTTCTTCTGTTGAATTATCATAAATAATTTATTTTACCATCTCTATTAAAAGTGAAACCATGCAGAGCGCTTTGAAACTTACATTTCATGTTTTCATTTTTGTTATAACTTGCCATGCGGCTTTTAATTTTAAAAAACGTGGTACCTACCTAACATACCATCCCAATGACAAAGCTAAAAGATTATTTGAACCAAAGTCAGAGAAAGTTACAAACTATATATAACCCATTGTCTATTTAGTATCGAAAAATGTGTATGGTAATACTCGTAGGTATTAAAAAGCCATAAATGAAAATTTTTCCATTAAAAAAAAACAAATAATATTTTTTTGTTTATTGTTTTGTCTTTGAGGTAATTTCTTACTTTTTAGGAAAACTGCTTATTCACAATTTTAGGGACAATTATTACTAAATTTAAATAACTTTATCGTTCCAGTGGGCACATAATGTCCACATGCCTTCTGAAGAGGCTTGCGGCCACGACGGACGCAAAAACATATTTTACAGAGACCATAAAGGCACACAAACAAAGGCATAAGCCAGACAAAATAGTTGAACATATAAATCTTGGAAAAAATGAAAAGAGTACCCGCACAGCGGTGGGTTTATGCTGTTTGAACAGTTACAGGCGCATTTTCATTTGAGCTTGTCACGACAACTAAAATTTTTTATTGTCTTTTTTTGATAATTAAGGTTTTTCAGTTTTAATAGGCACAATTATTAGGTATAGTGGTTAGAAAATGCAATAAAATTTGAACAGATTTCGATGACTCATTAAATCCTGCACATGAATAATTCATACTCTTTGATATCCATCTGTTTGTTTGCAAAATTAAAAAATAATAGAAATGCAAGACCCAACTTTCAGAGATCCGACTGTTAAAAATGATTTATGACCGCGACAGTCACCACAAAATGTCTGCAGTATTATACCTGAAAACTGGTAGTCGTTGATGGTTCCCTCTCACATCTGGTCGAAAAGGTCCACTTGTTTATAGTTATATGATATGAATAAATACGCGAATTTTTGTAATTCCTTGCTCAGGCTTTTAGGCCAAACAAATTAGGAAGTGTCACTTTCGGTTCACTTTCGCACCATCCCACATACTTATTATAATTTTTTTGGAGGTATCTACTAATTTCTACTACTCACTGTTTATCTACAATTCGCCTTTTTTATCTGAAAAAGCTCTCACATATCCTTATTCATGCAGTGAAATCGCTGGAGAGTAAGCAACAACTTTCTAAATTTTACTTATTTGCTAAACATCGCAAATTAGAGCAACATTTGCTGGTCTATTTAATTAAAACTAAAAAGGTAACAGATGTTAAAAAAACGTAAAGTTATCAGTTTTCACTCTTGTCGATAAAAGATAAAATATGTAATTGTTGTTACGTAGGTACATTATGTAAAAAATAAGTGTCACTTCCTGATAAATCTTAACATAAGAGGCTGTTCGATTTTTGCAAAAATTTTGATTTTACTATACTTACCTATCACATATATGTTTAAACAGCTTTTTATCATTGAACCTTCAGATAAAATAAATCATCTTCACAATCTTATCGATTATTGACACTTTATTTGTAAATTTATTCGAAATTTATAAAGTGATGGTCTTAAAAGATAACGTATACTTTTATAACCACACATGTCAAAATCAAGAAACATATGTAAGTAAATATCTGTGATTGCTTGGTAAAGTAAATAACATACTGTTTGCTTAAATATATCCTAAGCAAATATTAAGGTAAGATAAAACTATCCGTGGATTTAAAAAAATGTTTTGAATAAGAGTACTGTATGAATTATCATCATCAGGGCGCCTCCATCTTTGTGGTAGAAGCTTTCGCGTGAGACTTCAAAGCAATACTACACACAACCACAATATTATACTCTGTTTTATTCATACAGTTCAGTATTTCACTTGAATTTATTAGACAATGCTATAGAAAAAACATAGTACCAACACGCAGTGTTCTAAAAGAATGAGCCATATATTAATAACAAAATAGGTATACTATTACTACTATAAAAGATACAAAGAATAAAACTGAGTGCTAATTCAAAGTGTATTGTCTTTGAAAATAGCTATACTTATGAAACTAAAAAGAAGCCAAAAAAAAAAGATTTACCAATCAGACAAAACTTTCCACGTTTTTCCCTTTCTAACTGTGATAAATATTCCGTTAAACTAACATAAATTACAACATAAATTAATTTCAGTTTAAATGGTACTGCAAGTGCTCTTTCTGCAAAGACCAGAACACTTTTTCTCCCACTATACGAATTTTACTGTAAACATGTTCGTAATTTCCTAAAGCTGATGTTTGAAAATCTTTTCTAGCTAAAAGACTGGTCTTTATTTTTTTGCTTCTGTTTCTTCTAGTTAATTAGAAATTTAAAAAATAATTACACCTGTTTATACGATCAGACGTTTTAATTCCACAATCTTGAGCTTCAGTCGCCACTTTTGTAGCCTGCTCTTTATTCAACATTCTGCTCGTCCTCATTCAGTTTTGTGTTTACAACAAAGTTGTGTGTAAATTTTATATGAAGAGTTTATATCACTCTATTTAGTGTGCGAAAAGTCGTTTTAAAATTCTCACAATAA